CTCGGCGCCGCGCGAGTGCGCGGGGTGGGAGGGAGGACGTCCGCCGCCGGCGGCCAGCCTGCGGCCAGGGCGGCGAGGACGAACGATGGCAACGACGACGACGACGGCAACGGAATGCGCGCTTCTCTCGCCTCGCCACCCTGCGGCCAGTATTGGCGACGGCAACGACGACGACGACGACGACGACGACGACGACGACGACGACGACGACGACGACGACGACGACGACGGCGGCGGCGGCAACGACGACGACGACGGCGGCGGCGGCGGCGGCGGCGACGACGACGACGACGACGACGACGACGACGACGGCGGCGGCGGCGGCGGCGGCGGCGGCGGCGGCTGACAGTCGCGAGTCGTTCCAGAAGACGAACTCTGGTACGTTAGCCATGGGAACCCGTAGGACTCCTGCAGATGTTTGCGATGGACGTGCGCGGCGCTCGGGCGGGAGCCACGTGCTGAAAGCCGGCCGCCCTCAGTCCGTGAGACCCTTGAAGTTGTGATAGACGAATGTGCGCGGCACAAAAGCGAGCAACCTCATCATCACCATCATAGTGATCACCATCATCATCATCATCATCATCATCATCATCATCATCATCATCATCAGCATCCTCATCATCATTACCATTATCATTATCATCATCAGCAACATCATCAGCACCATCATCATCATCCTCATCCTCATCCTCATCCTGATTATCATCCTCATCCGCATCGCCATTCCCAACATGTTCCTCATACTCGTCATCATCATCATCATCATCATCATCATCATCATCATCATCATCATCATCATCATCATCCTCGTCCTTATCCTCATCCTCATCCTCATCTTCATCATCACCATCATCATCAACATCATCTTCATCATCACCAGTAGTACTATCATCACCCCCATCCCCATGAGCAACATCACCGTCATCCACATCATCACCATCACCATCACCATCACGATCACCATCACCATCACCACCATGGTCATCAACATCATCAGCATCATCAGCGTCGTCGTCGTCGCCATCACCATCGCCATCACCATCATCATCATCATCATCACCACCGCCATCATCATCATCATCATCATCAGCATCCTCATTATCATCATCCTCATCCTTATCCTCACACTCATCCTCATCATCACCATCACCACAATGGACATCATCATCATAATCACCATCATCATCATCATCATCAGCATCACCAGCATCATCATCGTCATCATTGTCATCAACATCACCCATCATCATGACCATCATCATCATACCAGCCAGCGTTGACTGTAAATAGATTAGACGACTCAAATCAAGGAAGCAAAGATATCGAGCATGCTTGGAATCCGCAACTCAGCAAGCAAGCAAGCGCGCAAGCAAGTAAGCAAGCAAGCAAGCAAGCAAGCGTGCAAGTATGCAAGCAAGCAAGCGTGCAAGCGTGCAAGCAAGCAAGCAAGCAAGCAAACGCGCAAGGAAGCAAGCAAGCAAGCAAGCATACATAAGGGGGTGCGCCATTGGAACAGAAGGGGGGGGGATAGGCATAGGCATAGGCGTAGCCATAGGAATTAGGGGGGGGGCATCGGAACTAGGGGGGAGGGCAACGGACCAATCAGCAGGGTTTGAGCTAGGACTCCTTTAGGGCAAGCCTATGTGGAGAATTTACATATCAGCCAGCATTTACTCCAAATATATTGGACGACTCAAATCAAGGACTCAGAGGAATCGAGCATGCTTGGAATCCGCAACTCAGCAAGCAAGCAAGCAAGCAAGCAAGCAAGCAAGCAGGCAAGCAAGCAAGCAATCAAGCAAACAAGCAAGCGCGCAGGCAATCGTGCAAGCAAGCAAGCAAGCAAGTATACATAAGGGGGGTGCCATTGGAACAGAAGGGGGGGGATAGGCATAGGCATAGGCATCGCCATAGGAATTAGGGGGGGGCATCGGAATTAGGGGGGGGGGGGGCAACGGACCAATTAGTAGGGTTTGAGCTAGGACTCCTATAGGGCAAGCCTAATTGGAGAATCATCATCATCAGCAGCGTCAGCATCAGCATCAGCATCAGCACCAGCATCAGCATCAGCATCAACATCAGCATCACCGCCACCACCACCACCTCCATCATCGTCATCATCAGCAGCGGCAGCAGCAGCAGCATCATCATCAGCATCATCATCAGCATCATCATCATCAGCAGCAGCAGCACCATCATCATTGTACTGATAGTAGAGCACCGAAGAAACTGGGCTGGCACGGTGGCGGAACTTGCCGCAGGCAGCTAGGCAATACTCACCGTGAGCAGCCGTAGAGGAAGGCGGGGGCGGGGGGCGCCGAGAGGGACGCCGCGCGGAAGCATCGTCGAGGGCGGCGTCGTCGTCAGAAGCGTCGCCGTCGTCGCAGGCGTCCTCAGACATCCGGCCGCTAAAATTGGTTCGATGCGTGGGCCCAGGAGGTCTGGAACACTTCCCCAGGGCCCGGTTTTCGTCCCGAGTCGTTTTTGTCCCGAGGCCTGGCGAGGGTCCCCGGATGCCGAAAACGGCCCAACATTTGTTTTGTTGGAGCGTCGCATATCTGGGTCCTCCCTTCCTCTCCTTCCCACTCCGCGTTTTTCCCCAAACAGCTTGCTGAACGGGGTGCTGTTGTGGTAGAAACTAACTCCGGCCGAGGGAACGCGGAGCAGAGACATCCTCACACAATTTTTATGGTTTTGGCCGTTTCGCTTGAGACATCCTCACAACTCTCGTTTCTGAATTGGCCGGGATCGGCCGTTTCGCCTGAGACATCCTCGAAAAGTTGCGCTCCGGGACGCCGCGCGAGAGGTGGTCCGGGCCGTTTCGCCTGAGACATCCTCAAAAAGTTGCGCTCCGGGACGCCGCGCGAGAGGTGGTCCGGGCCGTTTCGCTTGAGACATCCTCGAAAGTCTGAGCCCCGAGGTGCCGTGCGAGAGGTGGTCCGGGCCGTTTCGCCTGAGACATCCTCGAAAAGTTGCGCTCCGGGACGCCGCGCGAGAGGTGGTCCGGGCCGTTTCGCCTGAGACATCCTCAAAAAGTTGCGCTCCGGGACGCCGCGCGAGAGGTGGTCCGGGCCGTTTCGCTTGAGACATCCTCGAAACTCTGAGCTCTGCGATGCCTTGCGAGAGGTGGTCCGGGCCGTTTCGCCTGAGACATCCTCGAAACTCTGAGCTCTGCGATGCCTTGCGCGAGGTGGTCCGGCCCATTTCGCCTGAGACATCCTCGAAACTCTGACTTCGGAGATGCCGCGCGAGAGGTGGTCCGGCCCGTTTCGCCTGAGACATCCTCGAACTTCTGACCTCTGAGATGCCCTGCGCGAGGTGGTCCGGCCCGTCTCGCCTGGGACATCCTTGCAACTCTGAGCTCTGAGATGCCGTGCGCAAGGCGGTCCGGTCTGTTTCGCACAAGACATTCTCGCAACTCTGAGCTCTCAGATGCTGCGCGAGAGGTGGTCCAGCCTGGGCGCCCAGAAGACCACATGTGACATATCCTCCATGGGACCCTGCGAGCCTCAGGAGGCCCCAGAGAGGTCCAGGAGGCCGCAGGACGCCCAGGACAGGCCCCAGGGGCCCCCAGGAGATTCCCAGGAGGCTCCCAGGAGGCCCCAGGAGGCCCTCTATCAGAACGTGTCAAGTTAATACACATCCGGTGTCGATTCGTTGATTTTTCCTGCTCTTGTGCCCCCCCCTCCATTTTGAGGGGCCCAAGCGGCCACAGGTTAGATATCCCCCCTGGGAGCCCCAAGAGGCTTCAGGAATCCTCAGGTGGAGTTCAGGAGGCCACAGGAGGCCCAGGAGGAAGCTCCAGGAGGTCCCCAGGAGGCCCCAGGAGGCACCAGGAGGCCGCAGGACGCCCAGGACAGGCCCCAGGGGTCCCAGGAGGCACCAGGAGGCCGCAGGATTCCCAGGAGGCTCCCAGGAGGCCCCAGGAGGCTGCCTATCAGAACGTGTCAAGTTAATACACATCTGGTGTCGATTCGTTGATTTTTCCTGCTCTTGTGCCCCCCCCCCCCCCTCCTCCATTTGGAGAGGCCCAAATGGCCACAGGATAGATATCCCGGCTGGGAGCCACAAGAGGCTTCAGGAAGCCCCAGGTGGGGTCCAGGAGGCCACAGGAGGCCCAGGAGGAAGCCCCAGGAGGTCACCAGGAGGTCCCAGGAGGCCCCAGGAGGCCCCCGCAACTCGGAGCTCTGAGACGCCGCGCTCGAGGTGGTCCGGCCCGTTTCGCCTGAGACTTCCTCGCACCACGTTTCGCCAGAGACATCGTCGCAACTCTGGGGTCCGAGATGCCGCGCGCGAGGAGATGCGTTACGCTGCCCGTTACGCTGGAGACATCCTCGCAACTCTAGGCTCCGAGATGCCGTTCGGGATGAAGAGGAGGTGGAGGAGGAGGAGGAGGAGGAGGAGGAGGAGGAGGAGATGGAAGGGAGAAGGAGGAGGCGGATGATGTGCATGAGGGAGCAGGCAGGAGAAGGGGGAGGCCCCAGAGAGCTCCAGGAGGCCGCAGGACGCCCAGGACAGGCCCCAGGGGTCCCCAGGAGATTCCTAGGAGGCTCCCAGGAGGCCCCAGGAGGCCGCCTATCAGAACGTGTGAAGTTAATACACATCCGGTGTCGATTCGTTGATTTTTCCTGCTCTTGTGCCCCCCCCCCTCTATTTGGAGAGGCCCAAACGGCCACAGGTCTGATATCCACCCTGGGAGCCCCAAGAGGCGTCAGGAAACCCCAGGTGGAGTTCAGGAGGCCACAAGAGGCCCAGGAGGAAGCCCCAGGAGGTCACCAGGAGGCCCCAGGAGGCCCCAGGAGGCCCCAGGAGGCCCCAGGAGGCCCACGCAACTCGGAGCTCTGAGACGCCGCGCTCGAGGTGGTCTGGCCCGTTTCGCCTGAGACTTCCTCGCAGCACGTTTCGCCCGAGACATCGTCGCAACTCGCGCGAGGTGGTCCAGCCCGTTACGCTGGAGACATCCTCGCAACTCTACGCTCCGAGATGCCGTTCGGGATGAA